TATGTGAATTTGTTAGATCGGAAGGAAAATCAGTTAACAGCGATTCCTGAAGCATTGGAGGTGAAACCCGTGAGGCCTAAAAGCTGTTTTTGTTCAAATAAAACATATGATGGACCGGGTGTGTTTATGGGAATATCAGATTGTGATGATTATATGATGACTTTGGGTAAGCATGAACGTAAGGTTAGTGATGAGACATATAAAGTAACTTTTTATGTTCCATTTAGTAAGAAGAGCAGGACTTTGATGGTAAAAGATCAGCTTTTGCCTGGCAATGTGACTATTGGGAATTTTCGAGATATTTGGTGGGTTTGTGGTGATAAAGCATATATATTCTTACCCTATGGATGGACAGGATGTTGTTACATGTCGACGCTGAAGCTTCCATATGAGGTTTATACCATTCAAAAGGGGAAGGCACCGGACACTGCTAAATCTGATTCTAGGTCTGGAAATAGGGTGAAAAGGGAAATGGCGCAATTTCATAATTTGGAAGCCTACCATTGGAGGATAAGTCTAGGAGAGAAGTGGGGACTTGGTCTTTTCCATGGTATGGTGTAACATTTTTTGGCAGATCACATTGATAATATTACCTATACTTTGCAGGGTTTTGCAAATGAAACGATACGAGGGTTTAATCTTCTGTCAAATACTCAAAGAAGTCACAGACTGACGCTGTTGAAACATGACATGGCTCTTGACTATATTTTAGCCAAACAAGGTGGCTTATGTTTGGCTATGAATTTGACGGGGGATGATTGTTATACTTTGATCCCCGATAGTTCCGATAATATCACTAGTGTTATAGATGCATTGAAGAGTATAAGGGATGCGTTTGGTCGATCTGAAGGAGCTGGATGGTCAGCGAAGGCTTGGTTGCAAGATCAGTTAGGCCCAGTGGGAGCAGTGATAGTTCAGATTTTAGTAGCAGCTCTTATAGCGCTGTGTGTAATGTTTTGTTTTTGTACTCTGTTATTGACTTTTGCGAAGGCTATGATATTGAGATGGGTTGGAGTTGTGATGCCTGGGGACAACACTCAGGTGCCGTTGTTAACTGTTACTGATCTAGAACAAGGAAGGTGTGGAAATGTTCAGATTCCATCATCGACGTCGCATTGAAAGTCGACACTGTGGAGGAGATGAAGTGTAGTGGACTACATTCCAGTGTTATGTTCTTTCTGTATTAATTTTTTGAAGAATTATGTTTTCTGTTGTTGGGTACATGTGGGGATCTCAGATGTTTTTGTTTATTTCGTTGAAGCTTAGGGATATTGGGTCTAGGCAGGGATAGAGAGAATCCACAGGAGGGTCCGATGGGTCGACCAGCTTGAATGTGGACATTTTTGATTGTATTTTGTTTTGCTGGGGTTTTCATGTGTATTCAATTGCATCATAGCTTAAAATGCATTGATAAAGATTTATGAATTGATCTGGAGTACTTAGGTGGTCGCCTGGGGCAGAGGGGCCGTGAGAGAATTTTCCTGTCTTGATTGACTGATGGATATTTGGAATGAAAGCTGCCAGACAGGTTTTTCGCTCTTACACTCCATAACAATTTATTTACACTCCATAACAATTTATTTACACTCCATAACAATTTATTTACACTCCATAACAATGTATTTACACTACATACAAAAATGTGTCTATATAAACATGTGTTTACTCTCCATAAATGTTGGTTTATTGCTAAAGTTACTCAAGAACAAGAATTGATATTTGTCCATAATCCTATTCTTTTTGTTTTCGAGACTTAATTAGTCTCGAAGGGGGGAAATATGTAGTGTCTGAGGGTCTATGACTTTGCTGACGTTTGCAAAAAGTGTGTTAGGGGAACTTGGCTCTGCTTGCGGAAACATCTGGAAAGCATTACTACATAGGTTTCTTGGAATAGAGGATATGGGGAGATATGTGGAAAGCCAGGGATTGGTTTATTAAAATCACGCCATATTATGTCACATAGGATATAAATACCATGTCTTGAACAAAGGACTGGGAGAATAGCATATTACAGATCGGGTCCGGCTGTTCTCCAGATATCTGCAGATATCTGTAAATCGACGCTGTAACCCTTTGATATAAATAAACCTTTATAATCAAAGTACAGTGTCAGCGGACTTCTTATCATCACAGCATAATTAGCAGCATATTTTCAGACACAACAATCTCCCACTTTACGCGAGTTAAAAGTATATGTGGTGGTGAACATTACAGTGTCCTTCAGCTCTAGTGGGTATTTTTGTAGGAGTTCATCCTACGTTTCCCTAAAGTCAAATCAAGAGCTTCATCCACACATGGTCGAGAGTAGCCTCTTCTTAGAAACCTATTGCGCATCTCCTCTGCTTTTTCTAGATAGTCCTCTGCGGAGTGGCATACACGGCGCAGACTGAAAAACGGGCTTCTTGGAAGCCCTCTTTTTAATAGCTCAGGGTGGAAGCTGTCCCCCTGTAATAGAGTATTTCATTCCGTTTCTTTATTATACACGTTTTACAGACGTGTTTAATACGTTTCATGTACACACTTTATTAGAATATTTATGAAATGCACATTGTTATATTTGGTAACACTTACTTATTTCCCTTGACTCCAACCCCATTCAATACATTGAACGGATGTGGGAGGGTGCTATTTTTTATTTAATTTTTTTACTCACAAAAGCTCTGATGAAGGCCTTGAGGCCGATACGTAAAACTTAATAAAGAGCAGTGATACTAGCAAGAGCAGTGTGCGGGTTTCTTCTTTTTTTCTCATAAATGTATCACTAATAATAATAATTTGCCATTTAGCAGACACTTTTATCCAAAGCGACTTACAGTCATGTGTGCATACATTTTTACGTATGGGTGGTCCCGGGGATCGAACCCACTACCCTGGCGTTACAACCGCCATGCTCTACCAATTGAGCTACAGAGGACCACAGTAAAATGTACTTAACCTGGCTAAGTAGACCGCTAATCAGAGTGAGCAAAGAATCTACAAATGAAGTGTGTAATAGGCATAATTTAAAAATGAGAAAAAACAGAGTGTTTTCTAAGTGATAGAACATTTCAAAATGGTGATGCCCCATACTCAATGACAATATATGAAGCCCCCTACCAGCACCATGTTTTATATAGCCTAATTCATAACAAAGATGCCCTACAAATAACTTACACCACCGGCTTCATTTCCTTTTACATTAGTTGCAGGATCCTTTTTAAGGATACAAGGGAATTTCAACAACTCCTGTCTTTCTCCTTGCCACCTCTTCTTCAATTCTTGGACCTTTGGGTCTGTGAAACCAAAACCAAAAGCATGATGGATATTTGGTATGACACTGAACAACTTTTGAACAATGCAGGATGGTGATCGAAGGCATGATCTGTAATCTGTAAGATTCCCTGTTGTTCAATGGTCATTCATGTATGTGAAATATATACCCAGAAACTGTTTAACCCTATCATGACCTCGAAAAGTCTCAAGGTCAGACCAAATTAGTAAGGGCCTTTGATGGTCAAAATACATAGCTAGCAGTGGAGGCTGGTGGGAGAAGCTACAGGAGGACAGGCTCATTGTAACGGTTGGAATGGAATAAATTGAATGGTATCAAATAGCTCAAACATATGGAAACCACATGCTTGACTCCATTCCATTGATTCCATTCCAGCCGTTAAAATGAGCCCCTCCTCCTATAGCTCCTCCCATCAGCCTCCACTGATAGCCAGAGTCAAAAGCCAATTTACCATCATAGTCTTTGGAGTCAGTTGTTTTCGGAGGATCTGTTAGAATAGAATAGAATAGAATAGAATACTTTGACATGGAAAGCTTGGTTATGAGTATTTAGCTAGAAAACGAATCTAAGGTCAGCTTTGTCTTTGTTACTCCCTGGTTTCTATGGAACGCGTTTGGGTCTTTGCGTGCCAAAAAAGATTCACATCAACTAACACTATTTGATGCATCAAATAAGCTTGTTGACCGATCAGGACCTGAATATGACTGCAATTCACATAATAATTTAAGATGTTCATACTATTTTTTACGTAGTTATAGACGGGTTGGTTGTTTAGCAACAAAACCGACGTGTGTGCAATTATGGGGCAAAACAGACGGGATTGGCTTAGAATGTTGAAAACCTGTAACCGATATTTAGTCTCCAGTGTTTATTGAAAACATAAATGTGCAACATGAGCATTTGTTGTCTCTCAAAGACATCGTTACAGTTGTTGTTTAATGGCAGGAACGTTAGCTAGCTGGCTATCTCTACTTACCCTTTGCTCTCAGGTTCACGAAAACATTTGTTAAAAATACAAGTGAAATTAGTATTTTTGACACCTTCATCTTGACAGTTATCAAACGTGTTGAGCAGCTTAGCTTTAGCTAACTAGGTTAGCTGGCTAGCTATGCTGTGGGAAGAATACAGTTTCCCAGCTGGCTGGTGTGGACTGAGAGGAAATAACTAAATAAAAATCCGTTAGCCAGTTACATTTTTTTTTTGAATGACAAGTCTCGTGTGGGACATTCGATCTGAATGTTCTGTAGACGCTCATGTGTTTTAGCTCTTTCTGGGTCAGATGGATTGGAAAATATGTAATAACTAGCCACCCGTTCTGTTTTTTTTAGCCAGATCCCGCACTTTCGATAGATTCACGTTAAGTAAAAACGGACATTGGTAGAGCATGGCGCTTGTAACGCCAGGGTAGTGGGTTCGATCCCCGGGACCACCCATACGTAAAAATGTATGCATGCATGACTGTAAGTCGCTTTGGATAAAAGCGTCTGCTAAATGGCATATTATTATTATTATTATTATTATTATTCTAAGTAAAAACTGACATTGGATCAGTACTTATTTGAGTGTGGAGTCACTTGACCACGCCCTGCTTGATTTTCATTGGTTAATGGCCAACTTTCGTCAAGGAACTCAGGAAAGCGTGTGATTCGAGAGAGGAGTTGAGTTTGGACACTGTTTTGTATATAATCGGACATAAATAAAATACATATTTACAGCTGTATTCTGTAAAATGGTCGGGGTAAAAGTAATCGGGAATGATTCAGAATTCCAACCTGAGCTAGCAGCCGCCGGCTCAAGGCTTGCGGTAGTGAAGTTCACAATGGCAGGGTAAGGTTCAACATATATTCCCAGGCCTTATGTACCGGTTAGCTAGCTAGATGGGATCTAAACTGAAATGGGTTATCCAATTTCATTGGCAAATGTATAGTTACCTAGTAGGTCAATTGGTGTCTGATTTCACAGTGTATCGGTTGTTGAATCCTTTCAAACAAGCTACTTAAATGCGGGAGAAAATAACTCTGACAACTCCACGCTGTTGTTAGCTACGCGAACGTTGGCTAACTAGCTAGTTAGCTTAGCCAGCTATGACTTAGCAATATCAAACAGGCTAAACTAGCTAACTCCACGGAAGAGTTGCGATACTTGGCAACCCATTAGTCTGATACTAGCTAGCAATACAGTCAAATGTTTTCTGTATAATTTGTGGTACAATGTTAGCTAGCTATCTATCTGGTGATTTTGATAGGCATCTACAATGTACTTCCATGTGAAGGGGACACATACATCTCTTTTAGCTAGCTAGCTCTGGGGTGTATTCATTCCGCCAAACAGTTGCAAACTAAAACGATCGTTTCTATTGGACAAAGTCAGGGGTGTATTCATTACGCACATTCTGTTAAAAACATTTCGTCTGTTCCAAAACGTGTAACAGACACAGTTTACTTAAAACGGAAAACGCAAAGAAGAGTTTCAATTGGACAAATTCATGTAGGCCCCTCCCCGGTTGTTCTGTTTGCTTCCGGTTTTGCGTAATGAATGCACTCCAGGGAGGCCTGTTAAGTTTGCTTCCGTTTAAGAAACGTTTTGCAACAGAAAAGCCTGAATGAATACACCCCTGGTGAAGAACCTTAGAATAGTAGTTTACCTAGCTACTATTTTAGCTTTAGTTAATCCATGTGTATGGTTTACAACTTTTGAGTTACAGTTTTGTTCATAACAGCCCATTTTGATGATCGCTAACGTCAAACTAAACTTCCAGTTTAGGCGACAATACCAGCTTCCCAATGACACTCCTTCTCTCCCCAGGTGTCGACCCTGTGTCAGAATATCCCCTGCTTTCAACATGTTGAGTAACAAGTACCCACATGTGATTTTTCTTGAAGTAGATGTACATGTCTGTCAGGTGAGGTTCTTTTTGCGTAAAGAGTTTTAATAATACAGCCTACCCTATCGTAATCAAAACACCAGGTACTCCATTGTTCATGTTGTCATAGGAGACGTTGTAAACAATACATTATTTATTTAAACATGTCAACATCCTCTCATGTAATTCATTGAGCAATACAGATACATACATCTGGTATGTGTGGGTAGGCATGTGACTTCAAAGTCAATCTCCCTCTTTTCTCTCTCAGGCAACGGCTGCCGCTAACAACATCTCTGCAACGCCAACATTTTTGTTTTTCCGTAACAAAGTGCGCATTGACCAGTATCAGGGTGCAGATGCCTCGGGTCTAGAGGAGAAGATCAAGCAGCATGTAGAAAACGACCCTGGAAGCAACGAGGATTCCGATATTCCCAAGGGATATGTGAGTATATGATGAATTGTATCCCTCAGATATTCCCAAGGGATATGTGAGTATATGATGAATTGTATCCCTCAGATATTCCCAAGGGATATGTGAGTATATGATGAATTGTATCCCTCAGATATTCCCAAGGGATATGTGAGTATATGATGAATTGTATCCCTCAGATATTCCCAAGGGATATGTGAGTATATGATGAATTGTATCCCTCAGATATTCCCAAGGGATATGTGAGTATATGATGAATTGTATCCCTCAGATATTCCCAAGGGATATGTGAGTATATGATGAATTGTATCCCTCAGATATTCCCAAGGGATTTGTGAGTATATGATGAATTGTATTTTATGGATTCTGGAGAGGTCGTTTTTGAGATCAGTATAGCAATACAAATCTCCAGGGGGTGGGTGTGGCTGGTTTGGAGATGGCATAACCTTATATAATAATAATAATAATAATAATAATATAATATTATACAGAAGCATGTCTCTTCAGACTCAGACAGCTGTGTGTAGCCTACTGTAGCTGCTGGTAAAGACTCAGAGAGCTGTGTGTAGCCTACTGTAGCTGCTGGTAAAGACTCAGACAGCTGTGTGTAGCCTACTGTAGCTGCTGGTAAAGACTCAGATAGCTGTGTGTAGCCTACTGTAGCTGCTGGTAAAGACTCAGAGAGCTGTGTGTAGCCTACTGTAGCTGCTGGTGAAGACTCAGACAGCTGTGTGTAGCCTACTGTAGCTGCTGGTAAAGACTCAGAGAGCTGTGTGTAGCCTACTGTAGCTGCTGGTGAAGACTCAGACAGCTGTGTGTAACCTACTGTAGCTGCTGGTAAAGACTCAGACAGCTGTGTGTAGCCTACTGTAGCTGCTGGTAAAGACTCAGACAGCTGTGTGTAACCTACTGTAGCTGCTGGTAAAGACTCAGCCAGCTGTGTGTAACCTACTGTAGCTGCTGGTAAAGACTCAGAGAGCCTTGTGTAGCCTACTGTAGCTGCTGGTAAAGACTCAGACAGCTGTGTGTAGCCTACTGTAGCTGCTGGTAAAGACTCAGACAGCTGTGTGTAGCCTACTGTAGCTGCTGGTAAAGACTCAGACAGCTGTGTGTAACCTACTGTAGCTGCTGGTAAAGACTCAGCCAGCTGTGTGTAACCTACTGTAGCTGCTGGTAAAGACTCAGAGAGCTGTGTGTAGCCTACTGTAGCTGCTGGTAAAGACTCAGACAGCTGTGTGTAGCCTACTGTAGCTGCTGGTAAAGACTCAGACAGCTGTGTGTAGCCTACTGTAGCTGCTGGTAAAGACTCAGAGAGATGTGTGTAGCCTACTGTAGCTGCTGGTAAAGACTCAGACAGCTGTGTGTAACCTACTGTAGCTGCTGGTAAAGACTCAGCAGCTGTGTGTAACCTACTGTAGCTGGTAAAGACTCAGAGAGCCTTGTGTAGCCTACTGTAGCTGCTGGTAAAGACTCAGACAGCTGTGTGTAGCCTACTGTAGCTGCTGGTAAAGACTCAGACAGCTGTGTGTAGCCTACTGTAGCTGCTGGTAAAGACTCAGAGAGATGTGTGTAGCTGCTGGTAAAGACTCAGAGAGCTGTGTGTAGCCTACTGTAGCTGCTGGTAAAGACTCAGACAGCTGTGTGTAGCCTACTGTAGCTGCTGGTAAAGACTCAGACAGCTGTGTGTAGCCTACTGTAGCTGCTGGTAAAGACTCAAGAGTGTGTGTGTATGCTGCTGGTAAAGACTCAGAGAGCTGTGTGTAGCCTACTGTAGCTGCTGGTAAGACTCAGACAGCTGCTGGTAAAGACTCAGACAGCTGTGTGTAGCCTACTGTAGCTGCTGGTAAAATCGACTGGGTAGCCTCTGAGCGTGTAAAGACTGTGTGGTAGCCTACTGTAGCTGCGGGTAAAGACTCAGACAGCTGTGTGTAGCCTATGTAGCTGCTGGTAAAGACTCAGACAGTGTGTGGCCTACTGTAGTGTGGTAAGACTCAGACAGCTGTGTGTGCCTACTGTAGCTGCTGGTGAAGACTCAGACAGCTGTGTGTAGCCTACTGTAGCTGCTGGTAAAGTATACTGAACAAAAATATAAACGCAACGATTTCAACAATTTTACTGAGTTACAGTTCATATAAGGAGATACAATTCAAGTGTGAAAGAATCAGTCCTAGCCCGAATCTATGGATTTCACATGACTGGGCAGGGGTGCAGCCATGGGTGGGCCTGGGAGGGCATAGGCCCACCTACTTGGGAGCCAGACCCAGCCAATCAAAATCAGTTTTTCCCCAGAAAAGGGCTTTATTGCAGACAGAAATACTCCTCAGTTTCATCAGCTGTCCGGGTGGCTGGTCTCAGACGATCCCGCAAGTGAAGAAGCTGGATGTGGAGGTCCTGGGCTGGCGTGTTTACACATTGTCTGCGGTTGTGAGACCGGTTGGACATACTGCCATGTTCTCTAAAACGACGTTGGAGGCGGCTTATGGTAGAGAAATTAACATTAAATTATCTGGCAACAGCTCTGGTGGACATTTCTGCAGTCAGCAGAAAGGTCTATATTATCAGATGTGCTATTAGCAGTAAGCATCATCATCTGTAGCCCAACTGATGTAGCATAGTGGCTATAAAATGTACATAGGCTGAAGCATGGGGAAGTGAAGGAAAAGCAGCCAACAAGTGCTCAGCATATGTGGGAACTCCTTCAAGACTGTTAGAAAAGCATTCCAGGTGAAGCTGGTTGAGAGAATGCCAAGTGTGTGCAAAGCTGTCATCAAGGCAAAGGGTGGCTACTTTGAAGAATCTCAAATATAAAAATATATTTTGATTTGTGTAACACTTTTTTTGGTTACTACATGATTCCATATGTGTTATTTCATAGTTTTGATGTCTTCACTATTATTCTACAATGTAGGAAATAGTCAAAATAAAGAAAAACTCTGGAATGAGTAGGTGTGTTCAAACTTTTGAACTGGTAGTTTATGTACAAAATTATCCTCTTTCCCTAAAAGCATGATGCTTGTGACTTTCTTACATGAAAGGAGAGGTTAACAGCCCTAATGTTGGAGTCACATTTATTTTCCAAGCCATATTTTACATATAGCACGTTTTTAAGGATCAAACAGTTTGGTCTGCTTCGGGTTTTCATTTTTGCCATTTAATACAAAATACTGGGATCGTCCCTGCCCTACTTACTATGGCTTAGCTAGGTTGGACAACCACACATCTATCTTAAGATGAATGCACATAACTGTAAGTGGCTCTGGATAAGAACGTCTGCTAAATGACTAAAATGTAGATGGTCTCAGAAAAGGCAAAAGCAAAGCTAACCATCCACTACATAAGGATGCTCTATTTCTCTAAAGCAATGTCAACATTTCAGGTGGTGCTGCCTTCTGTGAAGCTGCTCATGGGCTTGTAATGTGGACTTAACATGGGCTTGTAATGTGGACTTAACATGGGCTTGTAATGTGGACTTAACATGGGCTTGTAATGTGGACTTAACATGGGCTTGTAATGTGGACTTAACATGGGCTTGTAATGTGGACTTAATATGGGCTTGTAATGTGGACTTAACATGTGCTTGTAATGTGGACTTAACATGGGCTTGTAATGTGGACTTAACATGGGCTTGTAATGTGGACTTAACATGGGCTTGTAATGTGGACTTAACATGGGCTTGTAATGTGGACTTAACATGGGCTTGTAATGTGGACTTAACATGGGCTTGTAATGTGGACTTAACATGGGCCTGTAATGTGGACTTAACATGGGCTTGCCTTGTCTGAATAATTGTGATACTGTGTCCGTGTGTTCAGATGGACCTGATGCCGTTTGTGAACAAAGCTGGCTGTGAGTGCCTAAATGAGAGCGATGAGAGCGGTTTTGACAACTGTTTGGTCAAGGACACCACCTACCTGGAGTCTGACTGTGACGAGCAGGTGAGTCTGAGGATGGGTGGACATCAGTGTCTCCTTCATTAGTTCAGAGCGATCTGAATGTGTTGAAATTGTTCACTTCGGTGTGCGTACTTCTAGTAGACCTTACAGGTGGGAACTTGCATCTGTTGTCCTTTTTCTATATTTACAAGGATAAAATCTCACTCACCTGGTTAAAACAATGTATTGTCTTTTTAGGGTAACTTTTTCATATCTACAGTTTAAGTCTGAAGTTTACATACACTTAGGTTGGAGTCATTCAAACTCGTTTTTTCAACCACTCCACACATTTCTTGTTAACAAACTATAGTTTTGGCAAGCCGGTTAGGACATCTACTTTGTGCATGACACAAGTAATTTTTCCAACAATTGTTTACAGACAGATTATTTCACTTATAATTCACTGTATCACAATTCCAGTGGGTCAGAAGTTTACATTCACTATGTTGACTGTGCCTTTTAAACAGCTTGGAAAAGTCCAGAAAATGATGTCATGGCTTTAGAGGCTTCTGATAGGCTAATTGACATAATTTGAGTCAATTGGAGGTGTACCTGTGGATGTATTTCAAGGCCTACCTTCAAACTCAGTGCCTCTTTGCTTGACATCATGGGAAAAAATTGTAGAACTCCACAAGTCTGGTTCATCATTGGGAGCAATTTCCAAATGCCTGAAGGTACCATGTTCATCTGTTCAAACAATAGTAAGCAAGTATAAACACCATGGGACCACGCAGCTGTCATACCGCTCAGGAAGGATACGCGTTCTGTCTCCTAGAGATTAACGTACTTTGGTGCGAAAAGTGCAAATCAATCCCAGAACAACAGCAAAGGACCTTGTGAAGATGCTGGAGGAAACGGGTACAAAAGTATCTATATCCACAGTAAAACGAGTCCTATATCAACATAACCTGAAAGGCCGCTCAGCAAGGAAGAAGCCACTGCTCCAAAACCTTCATAAAAAAGCCAGACTACGGTTTGCAACTGCACATGGGGACAAAGATCGTACTTTTTGGAGAAAAGTCCTCTGGTCTGATGAAACAAAGATAGAACTGTTTGGCCATAATGAACATCGTTATGTTTGGAGGAAAAAGGGGGGTCTTGCAAGCCGAAGAACACCATCCCAATCGTGAAGCACGGGGGTGGCAGCATCATGCTGTGGGGGTGCTTTGCTGCAGGAGGGACTGGTGCACTTCACAAATAGATGGCATCATGAGGAAGGGAAATTATGTGGATATATATATGAAGCAACATCTCAAGACATCAGTCAGGAAGTTAAAGCTTGGTCGCAAATGGGTCTTCTAAATGGACAATGACCCCAAGCATACTTCCAAAGTTGTGGCAAAATGGCTTAAGGACAACAAAGTCAAGGTATTGGAGTGGCCATCACAAAGCCCTGACCTCAATCCTATAGAACATTTGTGGGCAGAACTGAAAAAGCGTGTGCGATCAAGGAGGCCTACAAACCTGACTCAGTTACACCAGCTCTGTCAGGAGGAATGGGCTAAAATTCACCCAACTTATTGTGGGAAGCTTGTGGAAGGCTACCCGAAACATTTGACCCAAGTTAAACAATTTAAAGGCAACGCTACCAAATACTAATTGAGTGTATGTAAACTTCTGACCCACTGGGAATGTGATGAAATAAATAAATCATTCTCTTACTATTATTCTGACATTTCACATTCTTAAATAAAGTGGTGATCCTAACTGACCTAAGACAATTTTTACTAGGATTAAATGTCAGGAATTGTGAAAAACAGAGTTTTTAAATGTATTTGGCTAAGGTGTATGTAAACCTCCGACTTCAACTGTATGCTTCTCCTGACTGGTGTTACCTCAGGCCAACCTGCAGGCTAAACCGTCTGTCTGGCTGGTGTTACCTCAGGCAACCCAACCTGCAGGCTAAACCGTCTTCCTGGCTGGTGTTACCTCATGCCAACCTGCAGGCTAAACCGTCTTCCTGGCTGTGTTACCTCAGGCCAACCTGCAGGCTAAACCGTCTTCCTGGTGGTGTTACCTCATGCCAACTGCAGGCTAAACCGTCTTCCTGGCTGGTGTTACCTCAGGCCAACCTGCAGGCTAAACCGTCTTCCTGGCTGGTGTTACCTCATGCCAACCTGCAGGCTAAACCGTCTTCCTGGCTGGTGTTACCTCATGCCAACCTGCAGGCTAAACCGTCTTCCTGGCTGGTGTTACCTCATGCCAACCTGCAGGCTAAACCGTCTTCCTGGCTGGTGTTACCTCGGGCCAACCTGCAGGCTAAACCGTCTTCCTGGCTGGTGTTACCTCATGCCAACCTGCAGGCTAAACCGTCTTCCTGGCTGGTGTTACCTCATGCCAACCTGCAGGCTAAACCGTCTCCTGGCTGGTGTTACTCAGGCCAACCTGCAGGCTAAACCGTCTTCCTGGCTGGTGTTACCTCAGGCCAACCTGCAGGCTAAACCGTCTTCCTGGCTGGTGTTACCTCATGCCAACCTGCAGGCTAAACCGTCTTCCTGGCTGGTGTTACCTCATGCCAACCTGCAGGCTAAACCGTCTTCCTGGCTGTGTGTACCTCGGGCCAACCTGCAGGCTAAACCGTCTTCCTGGCTGGTGTTACCTCATGCCAACCTGCAGGCTAAACCGTCTTCCTGGCTGGTGTTACCTCATGCCAACCTGCAGGCTAAACCCGTCTTCCTGGCTGGTGTTACCTCATGCCAACCTGCAGGCTAAACCGTCTTCCTGGCTGGTGTTACCTCAGGCCAACCTGCAGGCTTAAACCGTCTTCCTGGCTGGTGTTACCTCATGCCAACCTGCAGGCTAAACCGTCTTCCTGGCTGGTGTTACCTCATGCCAAACTGCAGGCTAAAACCGTCTTCCTGGCTGGTGTTACCTCATGCCAACCGCAGGCTAAAACCGTCTTCCTGGCTGGTGTTACCTCATGCCAACCTGCAGGCTAAACCGTCTTCCTGGCTGGTGTTACCTCAGGCCAACCTGCAGGCTAAACCGTCTTCCTGGCTGGTGTTACCTCATGCCAACCTGCAGGCTAAACCGTCTTCCTGGCTGGTGTTACCGCAGGCCAACCTGCAGGCTAAACCGTCTTCCTGGCTGGTGTTACCGCAGGCCAACCTGCAGGCTAAACCGTCTTCCTGGCTGGTGTTACTTCAGGCCAACCTGCAGGCTAAACCGTCTTCCTGGCTGGTGTTACTCAGGCCAACCTGCAGGCTAAACCGTCTTCCTGGCTGGTGTTACCTCATGCCAACCTGCAGGCTAAAACGTCTTCCTGGCTGGTGTTACCTCAGGCCAACCTGCAGGCTAAACCGTCTTCCTGGCTGGTGTTACCTCAGGCCAACCTGCAGGCTAAACCGTCTTCCTGGCTGGTGTTACCTCAGGCCAACCTGCAGGCTAAACCGTCTTCCTGGCTGGTGTTACCTCAGGCCAACCTGCAGGCTAAACCGTCTTCCTGGTGGTGTTACCTCAGGCCAACCTGCAGGCTAAACCGTCTTCCTGGCTGGTGTTACCTCAGGCCAACCTGCAGGCTAAACCGTCTTCCTGGCTGGTGTTACCTCAGGCCAACCTGCAGGCTAAACCGTCTTCCTGGCTGGTGTTACCTCAGGCCAACCTGCAGGCTAAACCGTCTTCCTGGCTGGTGTTACCTCAGGCCAACCTGCAGGCTAAACCGTCTTCCTGGCTGGTGTTACCTCAGGCCAACCTGCAGGCTAAACCGTCTTCCTGGCTGGTGTTACCTCAGGCCAACCTGCAGGCTAAACCGTCTTCCTGGCTGGTGTTACCTCAGGCCAACCTGCAGGCTAAACCGTCTTCCTGGCTGGTGTTACCTCAGGCCAACCTGCAGGCTAAACTGTCTTCCTGGCTGGTGTTACCTCAGGCCAACCTGCAGGCTAAACCGTCTTCCTGGCTGGTGTTACCTCAGGCCAACCTGCAGGCTAAACCGTCGTAGTAGATTTACGTGTCAGTGTGGAGTATTAGGTTTGTAGTAACACTCCTCACTAAACCCATATTTTCACCCCTTCAGCTCCTCATCACGATGGCCTTTAACCAGCCTGTCAAGCTGTACTCAATGAAGCTCCAGTCCTCTGACTTCGGTGAGTCCTTACTCTTCCTGGGTGCACCTAAATGTTGCTCAGGTCCTAGTAAAACACCTGTACTAGGCTAGTTTTATTCAAGAAAAGGAAAGCCTTTGAAATGTCTTCCTTTGCCCATGGAGTAGATGTTGGAATGATCACAGTCTATCATGTGTGTTGAGTTCCCATGCTTGCTTGTGTTGCCTTGTTGTCTCATACATACACATACACATACACATACTGGACTTCCTTTACACCCTCCTACAGCCCAGGCACCTAAGTGTGTGAAGATCTTCATCAACCTGCCTCGCTCCATGGACTTTGACGATGCTGAACGGAGCGAGGCCACCCAGACCCTGGACCTGGCAGAGGAGGACTTCAAGGACGACGGGCTGATTCCACTGAGATACGTCAAATTCCAGAACGTTCAGAGCGTCACTGTAAGTCGCGAAACAATTTTTTTAAGGTGCTACTTTGTGATATACTTTGTGAAATGATCGGCAAACCTACTGAGTTCAATGCACTTGCTCGTTCGTAAGAGCATCTGCGAAATGACTACTTCAATTATCATTTAATGTTATGTTTTATGTTGTCTCCTGTGTAACCATGTGTATGCCGCTTACTTGGCCAGGGCTCACTTGAAAAAGAGATGTATGTTATCTTCTTAAATAAAGGATGAATAAAAAATTTTAATATAGTTGTAAACCTTTCAGAAAATTCCTTTCACTTGTCCCGGTTCTTAACTCTTGTGTGGATGGAGTAGAAGGAAGCCACTTTAGACTATTGAGTTGTAGCTCTGGTGTAATTAGTGGTGTAAATATAGGACAATACTGCCATCTAGTGGCAGAAAGTGGTAATACTTTCCTCTCCTGGTCAACTGCAACATTACACTCTAGCTGTGATTTATAGGGTGTTGCTATACTGCTTGATTTGCATTATAGGTTCCAACCGAAACCTGCGTGAAGTGAAATCCTTTTAGTTTCTACTGGTTATTATATTATGATTATATTATTATAATGATGAACCTGTGGTTCTTCCATGTGTCCTAACAGATGTTTGTGAAGAACAACCAAGGGGATGAGGAGACAACTAAAATCAAGTACCTTACTTTTATCGGGACCCCTGTACAGGCAACAAACATGAACGACTTCAAACGGGTAAGAACAGGCCTCAGGTCAGGTAAACAGAAATGATTCCTATGAGATGGAATAGGGTTAATACGATACGTTCTGAATGTCCTTGTCAACTGCATAGAGAATTGGGAGATTGTTTTGAGGTCTGCAATGATATAAATAAATAAATGTGACTCTAACCACATTTCCATCCACAGTTTTTATGCGAGTAAAGTCATACCGTATAAAAAAATAAATAAAAATCACGGCAGCTGTGATAGAAACAGGACGTTTTTCAGTGCAATTTGATAAATGACGACAGATCATTTGTCCATTCGACATGGTGGGATGTTTTTGTGTCGGTAAAATTAATTATGCGAGAAATTGGGGGTGAAACGCCTTTATTTACATTTACGTTATTTAGCAGACGCTCTTATCCAGAGCGACTTACAGGAGCAGTTAGGGTTGAGTGCCTTGCTCAAGGGCACATCGACAGATTTTTCACCTAGTCAGCTCGGGGATTAGAACCAGCGACCTTTCGATTACTGGCACAACGCTCTTAACCACTAAAGCTACCTGCCGCCCCCCCCTTTTATGTGCAAATATTGATATAATAACCATCATATCTAAGTCAACTTTTGTGTGTGTGGTCTTCACACTAGTACTCTGGAAACCATTCAGTTTATTAGGCTACAGATTAAATAAATTAGAAACTTTCCAATAAATATCGAGGGTCTTATTCTGGTGACATGATGATCGATGCTTGACTGCCGTTTTGACAAATACAAATATTCACGCTCTTATCCATAATAATGTCATCATGTAGACTAGTCTACCCACACTGTATCTGCCAGCTGTTGGCGACAGCGCACGTGCCAAGACCAGAGTGGGCACATTTGCTATTTAACGCAACATATTTTATTTTTTATTCGGTACATGAAAACTTTAGCGAAAAGTACATTTTGTGTGCACTACCTCATCACGCACTGATAAAAAAAAAAATCAAAAAAAATCTGCAACAAGTCTGTTTGTTGGAAACACCACTGGTTGGAAAATGTGATTTTAGAATATTCGCATGGAAAATCTGTCGCCAATTGGATGTTTGCATTTTTTTCACACGGCTGTGTTTTTATTGACTAGGTTGTGGGCAAGAAAGGAGAGAGTCACTGAGAAAGAGGAGAGGAGAAGAGAAGACTGGCCATATTGCCGCGATGATCCCTCCCAGTACTTGCTTGTCTGTCTGCCAAACCTGCTGGGTGGGTCAGGGGTCAGCTCCACTGTAACGCAACACTGACAACCAACACTGTGTCCCAAATGACAACATATTCCCTTTATAGTGCACTACTTTTGACCCTTTTATAGTGCACTACTTTTTGGACCTGGTATCCATCCTGAAGTAGCGCTTTGATCCAGGATCCAAAGACTTGTCTAAGATTAAAAGTAGTGCACTAGATGGGGGGAATAGGGTGCCGTTTTGGGACGCGACGTCTGTATGAGCTGTCCTCCATGTTCGCCTGTGAAATCACCAAGATGAGGCGACTCAATTCAATTCATTCAAACATTTTTATTGTAATTCAGACAAACACTGTAAATAAACACAATCCAAAGGCATGTTTTTGTATTTGATGTCTCTTGAAAAGAAAGGTAAGGTTGCTCCACACCACCTCACAAAGACAAGGAAAAGAGAGTTCCGGCACCCGACGTTCCCTCCAAAAATTGTTTTGGCACTGAGCAAATTTCAGGTCTTGTCGAGCGCAAACTGGAACTGTTGTGAAAATTCTGTACAACTTCAAGCGCACGTTTACTGTGAACACTGAGGCTGTACCCGCTTTAAGTTACAGTTTTAACAGTGGCCAAGTAGCCTACTGTGGCTATTTGATCATAACGTAGGCCTACCAGAGTGGCCTACCATCAAAAACTATGGAGATTACATGGAAATAGCTGTTCTATCATTCAGCCTACAGTAGCAGCCAATGTGTGGTGTTCGATGTAGGCCTACATTCCATGAGACTTTTGAAAGAAACATGCAGGGCTCGACATGAACCTGTTTATCCACTTGTTCTTCAGACAAGGAGGTGACTGAAAATGTTGTTGTGTTGTTTGATGCAAGAAACCACTTAAAATGCATTGTTATTCCCATACCATTATTACAGAGAATCAGACACATTTAGCTACCCTCTGCCTATTGGCTACTTAGCTTATTCAAGACCCTCTCAAAATACAACACTGCCCCTTTTAAGACAAAAAAAAAAAAAAGCTCTTTAACTGACTTGTTTTTCCAAAGATGTCTAGAAATGTACACCTTTTGTGCTCTTGTAGGAAGCAATCACTCCCCTATTGCTGACTCTAAATGATCTATAACTGGGCTAATAACTCACTAACTAGCAAAGGAAATGAACTAAATATTCACACGTGGCTACATGCAGCTGTTGCTTTGATCTGAATCCAAACTAATCTACTCATGACCACAGCAGTAAACACAGTCCAGATCAAACATGCCAATGGTCTCTGCATATAGGCCTACTGCAGCTCTGATTGGTTATGCCGTCTCTGCATATAGGCCTACTGCAGCTCTGATTGGTTATGCCGTCTCTGCATATAGGCCTACTGCAGCTCTGATTGGTTATGCCGTCTCTTTGCATATAGGCCTACTGCAGCTCTGATTGGTTATGCCGTCTCTTTGCATATAGGCCTACTGCAGCTCTGATTGGTTATGCCGTCTCTTTGCATATAGGCCTACTGCAGCTCTGATTGGTTATGCCGTCTCTTTGCATATAGGCCTACTGCAGCTCTGATTGGTTATGCCGTCTCTTTGCATATAGGCCTACTGCAGCTCTGATTGGTTATGCCGTCTCTTTGCATATAGGCCTACTGCAGCTCTGATTGGTTATGCCGTCTCTTTGCATATAGGCCTACTGCAGCTCTGATTGGTTATGGCGCACAGGTCTCTGTAGAGTCAAGGCTGAGTCGTGGGCAATAGAATCCTACTCCTGATGTGTTTCTGCCTACAACAAAATCTCTTGCATAGTTCGGTTTGTTTCGGGAATGTTGCATTGAAAGTGGCTAGTATTGCGTTGATTTCGATCGCAATTGCCACAGTAAAGGGAAACGTTGATAGTGTTAACTAACAGGGGGAAACTACAACGTTGAGTGAAGTTCAATCTCGTGCTTCTCTCTGTGGGTTAGAGGGAACATGGCCGGCACCTCACACTTCCTACTACTTTGAGTTCCTGTATCTCTTATAACATATTGCAGTTCCGGCACAGACATGTAAACTACCCGCACCTATTTCAGTTCACTTCAAGGACTGAGCATCCCTGTGGAAATACTTAGGACTAATTCCATGTTTACACTGCAAAAAGGGACGAATTCCCGATGAAGGAAATGGACGGTAGCAGCATCTCAACACCAGCAGGTGCGTGAGTCCACTTCTAAATGGGGATGAGATGTAATGCCGTTTGCGACCACATGATGTCACCAAAGCCTTTGTTATACCCTCTTACGCAATAGATGTAGCCTGCCTCACTTCAGAGAGCCCTTCTTTCCACTGAACGGTTGATTCCATCAGAAATCCACCTTCTCAGTTATATTGGTCCTTTTGGGCTATGTTATGAGTTTTTGGTAAACCAATATTTGCAAGAAGTGATTTCAGTTATTTGTGAGATATATTTACAGTAACCTTATTCAGTTTTTGTATAAACATAACATACGGAAAGTCCATGATTTAATTTAGCAATTACACAGGATCACTTTGGAATGAATTAACATTTCTACTTTGAATTAAAGCAACAAATGTTGCTGGTCATTTTTCTGTCGATACCAAAAAATTATGTTCCTGGGGATATGCTTTCATTTGGTTTAAAGAACAAATATGAATATGTTTATATTACAAAAATATAATTATTGATGATATTTCTAGTAAAAAATGTTTCGGGTATAATTTTCTCTAAGACGGGAAAAATATAAAACATAGTAGTAATATTAAAGAGAATTGTTGACGACGCTTCTCCTATTCAAACCATTGTAAAACTGCCAGACGGCTACATATTTTTTTTTTTTGCTATAGGCGATTTTAGGCATGTGCATTTATTTTAATTCTTAGCTTGGCACTTTCTGTCTGTTAATTTATGATGAAGATAATTTACCGTTATGTGAAAAAGCCTTGTTATTTTGAATAATCGATCATCTGCCAATTGCATTGGCAGTCAAGGGCTATAGGCCTATTTTCTTTATCAAATACAATTTTCTCTGACAAATTTGTATGTGTACTATTCATATTTTTCCATTGTATTTAAACCTTTGAATGTGATTATAAATTGAGTGATTGAAGAGGACAGTAGTAGCCTATATTATCGAGGGTTTTCATAAATTGTGTTATGACAAAGCTCTTTGGTAGCTGTGGCTGTTGCCTGAAGACATACAGGGCGTTCAGAAAGTATTCACACCCCTTGACTTTTTCCCAATTTTTCTTGTGTACAGCCTGAATTCAAATTGGATTAAATTGAGATTTTGTGAAAGTGGATTTATGTTTCTAGACATTTTTACAAATTTAATTTAAAATGAAAAGCTGAAATCTCTTGAGTCAATAAGTGTTCAACCCTTATGTTATGGCAAGCCTAAAGTTCAGGAGTAAAAATGTGCTTAACAAGTGACAATAAGTTGCATGGACTCACTCTGTGTGCAATAAGTGTTTAACATGGTTTTTGAATGACTACCTCATCTCTGTACCCCACACATACAATTATCTGTAAGGTCCCTCAGTCCAGCAGTGAATTTCAAACACAGATTCAACCACAAAGACCAGGGAGGTTTTCCAATGCCTTGCAAAGAAGGGCACCTATTGGTAGATAAGTAAAAAATAAAATAAAGCAGACATTAAATATTTACATTTTAGTCATTTAGCAGACACTCTTATCCAGAGCGACTTACAGTTTGTGAGTGCATACATTTTCATACTGGCCGCCCGTGGGAAACGAACCCACAACCCTGGCATTGCAAACGCCATGCTCTACCAACTGAGCTAAAACGGGGCTGTGATAGGAGAACTGAGGATGGATCAACATTGTAGTTACTCCACAATA